TAGAGAGGGTGGGGGAGGGACAAGAAGAGATAGAAACTGAAAAACAACGCAAGAGACACACACAGACAGACAGACAGACAGACAGACAGACAGACAGACAGACAGAAAGAAAGAGAGAAAGAAAGAGAGAGGGGGGGGGAGGAGGGACACAGGAAGAGACAGTCAGACAGTCAGACCGACAGTCAGACCGACAGACAGACCGACCGACAGACAGAAAGACGGAAAGACAGACAGACAGACAGACAGACAGACAGACAGACAGACAGACAGTAAAAGAGTCAGAAGACGTAGCCGAGCGATGGAACAGATACCAATGCTAAGAGAAAATAGCCAGTTCAATTAAAATGTTATAAAGCAGAATGTGAGAAGATAAAGAATAATGTCCCCGCTGTCTTTGAACGAGAGACGTGCTCATCGACAACCCCGGAGCACACTTCCAGTCAACGAAAGAAGCTGCAACAACGCAAATGCTGATGTCTTTCAAGTAACGCTTAGAATTTTTTTTTCTGTAGCACGCAGAAGACTCAGGTTCAACTCCTGTGTGGGAAGGATTTATATCTAATATCTCTGTTTGTCAGTTTTGACATTCTGTCCTTCTCAGTCCCGTTTGGCCTTGACAGGAGGAGTACAAGTATCCTAAATGATCTATATTGTGTCGACGGTAGTGTAAAATATCTACACATTTGCATATTATTTGTTACACTAGAACTCTCCGGCAAATAAATCAGAGAAGTCTGGACTGATTTTTTTTCAGCGGCCTTTTTGCTTCTTGAAATAAGGAATCGATCGATATTTTTATTCTGGGCCAATTACTAGGTGGGTACAAAGATCGTAAACTGTGATCGTTTCAAGAGTGACGCTGCATCAAAATATATCGCTGATGTAATACACAGGACGGAATTTGTTTTTGTTGTTCTTTTGTTTTGTTTGTTTGTTTGTTTAAATTGCACTAGCGCGTTCGTTGCCATGGCTATGGTCTTGTTTATGAAAACTCTCTACAGAATTTTGAACGAGACGAGTAATTGGGTTTTTTTTTCGTTTTTGGGGGCTTTTTTGGGGGGGTGGGGGGAGGGGGGAAATTTCGTGGTGTGTAAAACTATTATCACATTCATCATCGCCATTGTCATTCGTATTGTTATTGTTTTTGTTGTTGTTGTTGTTGTTTTTATTTGTTATTGTTTTTATTATCGTTGATAATAATTATTATTGTTGTTGTTGTCGTTGTTGATATCATCAACAACATCTTCATCATCATCATCATCGTGAAAATGTATCAGAACTTTGTAAATGAAGAGCTCAACCCACATTGCCGAAGATGCAACCATGAAAAGGAGGATGTCGAACATTAATGTTTCAATGTCCTGGAACAATGGCAATTGCAATGGTGTTATTTGGACGAGTGGGGGTGCCTCTGAGTATAATAACAATGGAGCTCTCGCTCGAAGATTTCTTCTTGGGGTCCACCAGGACCATTTTAAAGGAAACCAAAAAAAATCATCATCATCAAAATACTAATTATTCTCCTCATTATCTTACTACTAATGGAGCTACGGCCAAATTTTGCGAACAGAATATTCTCAGAAAGTGCTGAATGAAAAAATATGAAACTAACTTTGCCAGTAACCATAACTTGAAGCGTAGTGTTGCACTATTGTATTTTCACTAAGATCAAATGTGTAAGAAGAAAGCAAATTTTAAGTTAAATTCAGTCCGTTTGTAGCGATCGCCATCATTTGCTTCGACATTGTATATTCGGTGCGGAGTGCCGACTGTGCCGAAGGATAATTTTGTGTTCAGTTAAACATTAAGTAGATTTACAGGAATTCCCGGTTTCGGTCTCACGCTTTCGGCCGTCTTCTCAAAGCGGGTTTGGAGCGCTCATAGAAGAAGCAGAAGAAGGAGGGGGGAGGAGGAGGAGGAGGAGGAGGAAGTGTAGGTGTAGATGGAGGAGGAGGAGACATGAAGAAGAAGAAGAAGGAGGAGGAGGAGGAAGAGGAGGAGGAG